ATGTAATTTATCTTGATTATGAGAATGATATAGTTCTAACTTCTCGTGCTAGTGCATTTGGTATGTATTGAACGGGACCAAGCAGAGATAGTTATTTTAGACTGACTGATAAAAACATATTCTCTAAACTATTAAATGTACTTATATTCTTAATCTTGATATAACGATTATGAACTGTATATATTATTTATCATTTTGATTTATTAAAAGGTGAGATTGTGAGATGGGTCAATATGCCTGGTAAATTGGATGATAATAATATATATTGGTGAAATAATTAGTTAGTTGATGGAATCCATGTCTCAGTATAGAGATTGATGATACACCTTTTATGAGAAGCTTGTAAGTTTTCATGTGTAAACCCGGCCGGTAGATTTATGAATCTGGCACATGAAATAAGTTAAGTATTGCTCTAAAAGAATTTAATCATTGAATTAAATTCGTCAGTAATTTAATTTATTGATTAGTATCGGTAATCTTAACATGGGGAATCAAATAAGTGTTTAGTGGTGAATTTCGAAATAAATAGAGGAGTTCAATTACGAATTTTTAGTGGAATGATTTGTCATTTATTATGGTAAGAATAATTTAAATTAATTATTTAGAATTATTTCCATAATAGGAAGCCTCAGTAATAAATTCTGTGGTCCCTCCAGTGCCCAATTTAACTAGAACTCAGAATCCTATTTTCTAGTAGAAGATGGAAAAGTCGCGTTCTTTTTCTTTGGAGGAAAACGTGTGTTTTCAAGTTCTTCTAAAAGAAAAAAAATTGGTTTTTCCTCTCCTCTTTGGACTAGGAAGACATCTCTTAAAAGGAAAAGAATTGGTTTTTCCTCTCATCTTTGGACTAGGAAGACATCTCCTAAAAGAAAAAGAATTGGTTTTTCCTCTCCTCTTTGGAGTAGGAAGACATCTCTATAAATAGAGATTTTTCTAACCTAGATTTAATGAGAGAATTCTATACAATACTTGCCCACCCAAGTATTGAGAGAGTTCAGTTGTTGATTGGGATCACTGTAGAAGATTACTGTAGAAGAGAACTGGAGTTGGATTTACTTCAAGATATCTGCACACGCTTCAAGAGGTAATCCTGAGTTAATTTTCAGCATACTTTGTATGTGATAACTATTTGTGATTGTTATTTATATTCATGCAAGATGTATGATTCTGGAATGCTTCCGCTGTATATGCTATTTTCCAACAGTTTAAAGTGCCAATAATTCACTTTTAAAAATCTTTATCTCTTATTTGCCGTCTAAAATGAGAAGAACAAACTATAGGTGTTGAATAATTAATGGTGACAAATGTATAAAATTAATCTTAATCAAACACATGACTTGATGTTGACTTTGATTTATCAATTTGCCTCATCGACTAATTAGCCTGTCGGCAAGACTCAAATTTTTGCACCTACGGAACTAACAGAAGAACTACTAAAAAGAAAAAAGGATAAAGTTACGGATCGAATCGATCGTTAAAAATAATTATAATAATTAATTAATGATCAGAGTATATAAGTTGTATAATATGTGTACGAATAAATATATATTCATCGATTATTATTTTAACGAAGCGTGATAAGAATTAATCCCAAAAAAAAATATAGAAGATAAAAACACATTCCTCACACGTAACGTTTAGTGTGATTGTTATATATCAACTTAAGTAACTTCAACATCACTGTATAAATACACGTGTACTCACTAAGAGAAACATCTCAACCAACTAACTCTTAACTAACTAAGCTAATTGATCAATTTACATGAAAAGAACAAAGCTACAAAATAAAACATTGGTAGGACCGAAAATCAGCAGGTGTAAACGCGGAAGCTAGCAAAGCAAACCTTAAAAGACCACGAGTAAGAAGACAATGAAAAATATACCAAAAGACACAAAGATTTAACGTGGTTCGGTCAAGAGGAGATGAGCAATCCACTATAAATATAAGAGTACAAAATACAGAGAGAAACAACCTCAACCAATTCACTCGGAATACATGGGAGGTTCACACAAGTGATAACGTATCAAACTTGTGACCCACAAATTCTCCCCCTACCCAAAATTTTCAAAGCCCTTAAGACTACATTGTGAATGCTGATTAAGTTAGAAGGAACATGCCTCTATTTATAGAGTCCTAAACCTTTTCTTACAAGAAAAGTATTAGTCAATACAAGGAAAACCTATTTATAATAAGAAATTTAGGGCAAATAAAACCCAACAAATATTGCATATTTTTTTTCTCAAAGGAGTAATCTGTTCAAAGAGGGGCTCACGTCTGATTAGCTAGTTAGTGAAACAATAGTTGGATTGTGCTCGTGGGACTTAATTCAACACCTTATTACACGAGCTGACGACAACCATGAATAGATCACCTTTGGCCATGTTTTGGATTTTTGTCTTACCATGCTTGTTTCTTGGTGAATTTTGTGAAATTATTAGTAGCTAATTATAATATTGATACTAAAAAGGCAGGAAATTTAAAAATTAAAGGCTTTTTAAAGGTTTGAAATTAACAATCGACATCAAATGTATATTTGGTTCTTCCATTGAATTGAATTTCTTGCTACATATACTGTTGCTTAGCTGTCGTAGTGTCACAGTGTCAAGGCACTATCAATAACATGTTGCTAAATAGATGGATCTTATGAAAATTTATTATTATAAAAACATATCGAATTAAAAGTTGGACGCTATTATAAAATTATACATCGAGGCTAGACGAAAATCGATACTTCGAGTTTCATGGATTAAGGGAGCTTAATTAATTGTAAGATTCATCTATCGAGCTTCAAACTCAAACAGTACTATAATACTAAAATAAACTCCTTAATTAAGAGAACAAAGAAGAGGTTTAAGTTGTAAGTAATAATATAAACTCGTAATTGTAAATTGCTGATTTCTAAGATTATTTATAAAATATAATTGTACTAGAGCCATCGAATTAATTGTACTAAAACCACATATTGCGATGAATAGACTACTCATGACAATTATCAAGATTTCTTTAAAGTAATTAATTAAGATAAGGTATGCGGTGGTCAGTAGTGCAATAATGTTAAAAGTAGATTTTTAATATGGGGGCACTTGGGATCATTGGTGGCACACACAATTTTCCACTTTACATTAATTGATATGACTTAGTTTTCATGTACATTTAAATTCACTATTTGGAAAGTCATGATAATTTCACAACCACAAAGATTTGGATATTAGAGCATTCATTTATGGTCCAAATCAAGAGATTATTTGATACGATTAGGTTCAGTCGATTTTTTATTTTCTTTTGACATCTCTAAATAAAAAAATGATTCATGAATTTATTCAAACAGTACTAGGGAAGTTGGTGCTTTTCGCAGAGACGGATCCACCCTTTGAGGTAGTGGGACACGTGCACCTATTAGTTTTGGAAACTTATGTATATAAATATAACATGTATATTCATAAATAAGGATCAAATAATTATATGCGTACATTGTAACTCATGAATCAAGTTGGTGTAGTGGTTAAACACTATCTGTTGCGCTTCTTTGCGACTTGTGTGCCCTGAGTGAACACAAAGTATACACTAAGGGTCAAAGTATACACTAAGGGTCAAGACCATCCAACTATAGAGTGAACTATGTTACGTTTCATTTAATTTGTATTTATATATACACTCAATTTTGTATTTATTTGATAATAATTTTCGATCAGTTATCGATACTTTAACTAACCCGTATCTACTTTTAGTAGTTCTCCGTTATCTTTAAATCTTGAGTTTGCTTCTGATTTTGCCCCCACCCCCTCATCCGTCTCCCTCTTATTCCGCGCATGCGTTAATGTGCTTGCTATGTGAACAATATAATAGATAAGAAAACAGAACTAATTCAAGTTCATACTGATATACCCTACCCTTGTGTAGTTCCTAGGCTAGCTCTCCATGGGTACTTATTTTATGTGTGTTTAAGATTCGAATTCAAAATATTTAATTAACAATGAATGGATTCCTTAAATTGCTTATATTTTGATTGTGTAGCAAAATCTTTTATCATTTGATAATTCTGTCCATTTTGTAGTTAAACTCGCAAACATCATCATTTCAAACAATAAGGTTTTCATAATTATGTTAAGCTATTCAAATATCGGTAACAATTGATTAATTTTTTGAAATCTACATTTATTAATCTACTAACTATATTTTAGTAATTATAGATATATACTCCCTCCTTCCGGAAATGTTTGTCATATTGCGCTTATCGAAAGTTGATTTGACTAATTTTCATTAATTAGATCACATTAATTTGATATTTTAAATAAAAAAATTAGATATTCTAAAACTATATGAAAAGTATTATAAATTACAATTTTTTGCATATTAATATGATGAAAAAATGCATCTTAAAATGTTAGTCAAAGTTTTTATAGTTTGACTCTAAAAATAGAAACCATAATAAACAATAACTAACGGATGGAGTATTTCATATTTTCCAGTTGTCGCTTTCATGGTCTTATATTCTGCTGACTGAGACACTGAGTGTTTAGTTAGGGAGGAAAACATTTTCTTCAAATTTTTTCATATTTATTTGATTGGTTAAGATTTTTGAAAAAGAGGAAAATGATTTCGCAATGGAATAGGAAAAATAAGTTTTACTAATGATATTCCATATTAACCGTGTCCTCTCTATCCTTCAACACATCTCATTTTCACCAATGTAGGTTGTATAGCGCCCATTCCTATCCTCTCATAATATTTATCTAGATAATATTTTCGCTTAAATATAGAACACAAAGAAAAAATGTGCTTACGTACGGAAACCATTCATACACGAGAGTCAACTTTAAGAAAAACAATATACGTAATATTATTCACACTCATGCAAATTAAAGTAGGTGCACAACATCAAAGACAAGAGTAGTGTAACACACATACAAATTATTTAGGTGCATGCTGAGTACGTATTAATTAAAGGATAGATTGATCAGCACACAACAAATACTATATGTTATGACAAGAGAATTCATTAGAAGAAATGATGCTTCTTCTTTCCCTCAGCTTCCTCCTCTTCTTCTTTTGCTTCTTTCTTCTGATGATGTTCATGGAATGCAAATCCACCAGCACCAACTGCAGCTACTGCGGCTATCTCTTCCTCTATCTTGTGCTTGTGTGCATGCTCTGGATCTTTCTCTGCCTTGTGCTTCTCATGCTGAAATTTTCATATACCATATCGAAGATTAACGTAGGAAAATGTCATTTAATCTTGTAATCTCATACATATGCATTGTCACGTGGAAAGTTAGAATTAAAGAATATTTACCAAAGCAAAGGCACCAGCAGCAACAGCTCCAAGTCCCCCAAGTTCTTCAAGATGCTTGTGATGTTTCTTCTCTTCCTTGTAATCCTCAGAAGTTTTGGTTCCACTATCATCATTCTCTTCATAATTAGTAGTAGTCTCAGATGAGTAGGCACCAACTCCTCCACCATAGCCACCTTCCTCATTACCATAACTTGTTTTCTCACCATATTTGTTGTCATCTCCTCCACCATAACTAGCTTTCTCTCCATAACTAGTTTTCTCACCATACTTGTTTTCATCTCCCCCACCATAACTTGTTTTCTCACCATATGTATTATCTCCTCCGTAGGAGGTAGGTTTTTCGCCATATGTATCACCACCATAACTAGTTTTCTCACCATATTTGTTGTCATCTCCCTCACTGTAACTAGTTTTCTCACCATATTTGTTTTCATCTCCATATGTGTTAGTTTTTTCGTCATATGTATCATCACCATAACTAGTTTTCTCACTATATTTGTTGTCATCTCCATATGTGGTAGTTTTTTTGCCATATGTATCATCACCATAACTAGTTTTTTCACCATATGTGTTGTCTCCATAAGTGCTAGTTTTTTCACTGTCTTCATAGGTTGTTTCTTCATATGTAGTTTTCTCAATGGGGGTGTCTTCCTCTTTGTTCTTGTGGTGGTTAAAGAGACCACCAAAGTGATGTTTCTTTTCTTCAGCCATGATGTTTTTTGGTGACAATTGTGTATGAAAAAAATGTAGTAGTAGAACAAAATACTTTGGGATGTTTTTTTCTTGTGAATATTGAATGGTATTTATAAGTATTTGGCCTATAGGAGGTGAAGTGGGGACTAACTAATTAGTTTGTCCAATGAACGTGTACAAGTTCTTATCCAATATTCATGATTTATATTTTCCATGATGGAAGATTTTCAATCCAAGTGGCAAAAATAATGGACCTAAGCTTAATTCAATTGTTAAAATCAGCACAGCTGATATGATGTATGACTTGCTTTATTCATTTTGTTTGTTTAATGTGAACTAACTTTACTTTTGTTTCCCCCCCTAATTAACGTTTCTAACTATATATATATATATATATATATATATATATATATATATATATATATATATATATATATATATGATATACTTTGATTTTAATTTGTTTGTTTTGTTAATCTTTTTAATTCATTTTTTAAAAAAGAAATTATGTGTTCAAATGTTGCTTGGTGAATAAAAATTATTGACATAACATATTTTTCTTTTTTCATTTCGTCTTAAACTATGTGCCAATGGATCAAATGGTGTCACGTAAGTTAGAATGGAGGGAGTATTTAATTTCAATTTTCATACGACCAAATGTGCTTTTCGATGTTCAACTGAAAAGCCAAAATCCCCTAATTTTAAGTCGAAGAGATATTTTTGGGGATGAAAGATGTGTTAGGATTACTATGGTTTGAAATACAAGTCATTTAAATGAAAATATAGGATAATGTCCCCCACAGTACTCCTACTCTCATGTTGGCCGTAAATTATCACATCAATACGCGTTTACTATATGCTTTGATCAAGTGTGAGTTTTATCAATTATTTTTATTCAAATTTCAGATAGTCTTTGTCATAACGTTAATTAATTGAACATTACTGTTACTAAAAGAAAAAAAGAAAAGAAAGAGAAACATAAGAATTTGTTAATCTTTCAAACAATGTCACGTTATATGAATATTTAAGATCCTATTAAAAGCACCAAGAAAAAGTTGGAAATCACACCTGGACATGTTGAATATTTTGAACCCTAATTAATCCCCAACCACTCCCCACATGAAATGCTTGTTAGATAGTAGTTATTTCTCTTAACCATACAAAGAAATTTGGGATCGTTTGATTGGAAAAATGTTATTTCGAATTGATTATTCTGAGATAAGTTATTTCACCAGGTATATGAGATAATTTATTCCATCACTAAAGTATAAATGGTGAGATAAACAAATCAGAACTCTGTAATATCTCCAATCAAACACAAAATTTACTAATACTCACATTCTATCCCCAAAATTATTTTACCTTATATCTCACCTGACACGATTCGTTAAAATAGTGATAGCGTCGGCATTATGATTATTTTGAGGAGTGTCGGCAAAAGCTTTTTAATGGAATAGTTTATTTGTATGCTAGTCTTTAATTTGTTGGTTTATTGTCTTTGTCCGTCTAACTGCCATTCTAAAGCGAAAAGCCCAATCCTCTTCTCCACCCACAACTTTTTTTTTCCGTCTAATATTTCATATTTATATTAAAATTTAATTAATTTAATTTTATGTATTTTCAAATTTTATTTGAAGGCAACAGTTTCAATTCATAGCTAAAGATTAATTTGAAACCCTTAACTGGAAATAAGAAAATTCCAACAATCTTACCACAATTCATGTCGGTAAACCAAAGCTAAGTCCCTACTCCAAAAAAATATAAATATAAATAAAATAATTTAGTACTTTAATGGTAGGCATATTTTGATGGTTTAATTTGAAGTTTTGAACAATAAATTACTAATTAAAAATAAAACTATTTTAAAAATTTCAGAAATTAAGGGAAAAATGTCAAAGTTTTGATGAAGAAATGTTTGATAAAAATTGTATGAATTATTATATCACACCAAATTGCCCCTTCTGTATATCGCTACCTTTACAATATTTTCCAAATTCAGATACAGGAGAAACCTACCTAATAATCCTTTTACCGTATCAAAAGAGACATTTGATGGCAATAATTTTTTGAGATAATTTTATTTAAAATATTTAATAATAATTGAGTTACTATTATTGTATTCCGAGTCATTATAATTTCTAGTAGTATTTATATAGATTATTGATTATAAATACTCATGTTATATTATCGGCACTAAATATAATATAATATTGATATTTGGTATTTCTGATTTCTATTTTATTTTTATTTTCTGTCATTGGATAAATGTCATTAAAAATGATATATTATATTTAATAAATAATTTATAATTATTTAAATATTTATATTTTATTTAAGATTACGAATTTTTAAAATATTAATTAGGATAAAGAAGTGAAAGAATATCCCGTGTGGAATCCGCATAAAGATTAGTTTAATTGGATGGAGCTAGATATTTATTAATGAGTGTCGACAATTAGTGAGGTGGGGATTTTGATGTGAAATGAATCACAAGAATCTCATATTATATATATTACTCCGTTCATAATTGTTTATTAGAATAAGATCTTGTATTTCCTTCAAGAAAAAATTAATATAAAGTATAATTTAATTAATATAATTTTATATTTTCGTTATAGGAAAGAATATCAAAAGTCTGTATAATTTTTTTAATTGAATAAAATGAAGTAATTATTAAGATTAGGATTATAAAAATTGTTGAGTTGTTGAGGTTATATAGTAATATTCACATTTTATTGCCAAAAAGAAAATTAGAATTGAAAAAATAAATTAATTACTTTTAATGATTTAAATTAAATATTAATCTTCGACATTTATTTTTAACATACGTGTCAAATAATTCGAAGAAGGAAAGAATATAAAAATTTACCTCACTTTAGCAGATGAGTCAAATGATCCTTTGAATTATTAAATTGAGCCTTTTGTCATCATGGCCCTATTAATATTAGGACGTGTCGGCAAGTTTTTTTTTTAATTATTTTTTATAAATATAAAAAAGTTATGATAAAAATTATGGAACAAGGTAACCATTCATTTTATGATAAATCACTATAAGCTTAATATATCTACAAATTATAGTGATATGGGATGGTTAACGGGCTTGGGATCAGGGGATTTATGAGTGGGTGGAAAAGAGATAATGAACTTATAATGTCATTCATGTAGCTTTTTTTTTATTTCTATTAAAGAAATTATTTTCTTTATTTTTACGAAGTTTGTTTTTCTAAAAAAAGTACCAAACATAAAAAAATTAAAAAATATTTTTTTCGATAGCAAACAGATCTGAGGAGGCTAAAATTCATTTCAATTTATAAGTCTTTACTTTTCCTTAAGTTTTTAGTTCATTTAGAAAAACATAAAAATACTTTTATTTTAATAATATTTTAATTTCAATTTCTATGTGACTTGTTTATATCAAGATAATAATAATTAAAAAATATTTTGTTATATGTAACATTTTTTAATTTAAAATTAATCAATCTTCTTTATTTCTTTTAAAACTCTATATCAAATTAACATCATAAAAACAATTGAAAGGAAGGGGGTAATACTTTTTCATTAAGTCGTGTGATTAAGCCACATAATTTACTTCCTCTCATAACACAAGCTAAATAACTCGATGAATTGCAAAATTGACATAATTTATAAAGTTTCTTTGTGTGATCTGCTGAATTTAATTTCCTCCGGCTTTAATTAATTATATGATATAAAATCCATCGAAGAGAGAACTATTTCATATCTTGATTTTTTATATACATTCAATATTCGAATTTAAAATCTTGATATTTGGCACCCCATGCGGTAAGTTGGAACAATAAATGACATACAATAAGTAGTTATTAGTTTTGAGTAGATGCATTATATACATGGCAGTTGGCACCATGCTTCTTAACGTCGAAAAATAACTTGAATTATATGGTATTATCTTAACTCTTAACTAATCTCAACCTTAGTAATCTAGAATAATTAAGACAATTATAATTCACTAGTCATTTTGTTTAATGCCTCACATGACCCTTTGGTCATTATCTAGTCCTGATTTGTTTTCATTTAGTAGATATTTGAATCCGAATGATTTAGATATAATTTAAAAAATAATTAGCTTAATTCATTTGTATCAATTACTTTGAATTCCTCTCTTCTTATCCAAAAATACTAAAGGTGTTGTTTTTAAGAAAAAAGAAGTTAATTAGTTGTTGGATGATTATTTTGAACAAGTCATTATTGGTGATGAATTAAAAATATACTAGCATTTCCGAATTTCAACTATCCCAAATATCTCAATTAGAAGTTCAAAGTTAATTAGCTGTGAATTTTTTCGTTAATTATATATTGTTCAGGGGAAGGGATAAATATACCTCCAATTTAAAGTGGATCACAATCCTCATATAATGAATTGGTGCATATATTAATTCATAATCTAACAAATAATGTATATTTATTCTTTTCGTTGATAAATATTTATGTATTGAAATTATTAAGTGACTTTAAAATAGGAAACTCACATATAGCTACTCAAAAATAGCGTAATTACTCTATTTAGATATAGTTTGATAATTACAATTCGTATCTATATGTTATAGAGAGGAGAGAGGCTAGCGAGACTGGGAGAGAGAGGAGAGAGAGAGAGCAAAAAGTGGGATAGAGGTGAATTGTATATGTATATCGGTTAGATAATTGTATATTATACATATGCATTTGTATATATGGCAAGAGAGATTGGGAGAGAGAGGAGAGAGGAGAAGCGAGATTGGGAGAGGGAGGAGAGGGGCAAGCGAGAGAGGCATAAAGTGGGAGAGAGGTGAATTGTATGTGTATATCGGTTAGATAATTGTATATTATACATATGCATTTGTATATATGACAAGCGAGATTGGGAGAGAGAGGAGAGAGGCGAGCGAGAGAGGGCAGAGAGTGGGAGATAGGTGAATTGTATATGTATATCGATAAGATAATTGTATATTATACATATGTATTTGTATATTCTGGTGAATTATACATATACAAATGTGACTAATTATATAAACTCGAAGTCAGCTCACATAATTAATGTATAATGTTAGTCGTGAGTGGTAATTATAGCAAACTATAGCTATGATGAATAATTAAATAGTATAAATTTGCTTAACCTCATAATTTTTCCTTATCACACCCCTTTTTTACACCTGCAAAATTCGATCCACAAAAATAAGCTCAATTCCTCTTCTACTCAATCATAAAATGAGTTTGGATCGAATCTAAATAGAAAGGGATAATTTTTTAGTTAGATGGATCTAAGTTTGATTCGTAGGGAAAAAATAGGTGAAATAATTTTTTCAAAATCATATGATAACATTGAAATTATAAAAATTATAGTTCTAGAATTATTTTTTAATCAAAGCGAATGATCAAATCGTCATATTTTCGGGATATTTTTTTGGAACCAACTGACACTGGCTCAATCTAACTTTTTTACTATGAGTCAAATAATTTATAAAATAAAATTATAAGTATCTAATTAAATTAATTATCTAAAAAATAAAGTAATCGACTCATTATAGTAAATTAAGTATATAAAAGTTAATAATTTTTCAATATAAAATTGCGAGGAAATTAAAAAAAAAAAACATCATTATTTAGGAAATCAAACAAATCCATTCACTAGAAAACTCATTATTTATTACACCACTTAAAAAAGCAACATTTTACAAGGTAATTCAACAGAAGATTGCGAGGAAAGTCCAAAACACACATGATCATTTTGGAAATCACAATACATCCTTCTTTACATCACACGAGATTGGTAAAATATATTTTGACTTTTGCTCTTTTTTTTTAACTCGATCCATTTATAATATCACACTAAATTTATTGTTATTATGCACGATATATGATAAGATGACACAACACTTATACCAAATATGGAAATTCCACGAATATTAAAAATGTAACTAAAATAACAATTTAGAAGAGATGGTGGTGTCCCCCCTCAGCTTTTTTTTCTTCTTTCTTGGCATCTTTTTTCTCATGATGCTCATGGAATGCAAATCCACCTGCCCCAACTGCAGCAGCTGCTGCTATCTCTTCCTCTATCTTGTGTTTGTGTGCATGTTCTGGATCTTTCTTTGCCTCATGTTTCTCATGCTAATTTTGTTTTATGTTTATTATCACCAACAAAAGAGGGAAAAAGTAATTAATAACAGAGACTCTGTTCTAATTCGTGTGACATATTTTCATCAGTTGTGATCATGTCGTACAAACAACAACACTTATTTTGAAACGAATGAAGTACTGAGTAATTTCAACATCGATATTCTATATGTTGTTTTTTTTTTAATTGAAGAGTTAGAAGTTGTAGAACAATTTTTATTATTACGCTATTTTTGTATAGATGATAGAGAGTTACTATAATTAGGTGAACTTAATGTGAAATTAGTGTAAACGTGTTTAGATAGAAAATAAACTCTTTTACTCGCAAATAAAACCATCCCTTCTCTGTTTATCTTCTTTAAATTTTTCACACCCCTTCCTTACATATATTATGAAATTAAACTAAAAATTTAAAAGGAAAAAAGGAATTAAATTATATTAAATAAATAATTGGCTACTCTTCCGTCCTTAATTATAGATTTTTGGCATGAATCGAGGAAATAAAATCATTTTATTAGGAATCAATATATTCAAACTCTCCGATGAAAATCTTGACTAATCGGATGTTCCCGGTAGAAAAACTCTTAAATGATTTTGATCGTAATTTGAATAAAAGAAAATGATTTGTATAAATAATCGATAATAACGTTTATATATATAAGGTAAGATTATATCAACGTACCAAGGCGTAGGCACCGGCAGCAACAGTGCCAAGTTTACCGATTTGCTCGAGATGTTTATGGTGTTTGATTTCTTTTTCGTAGTCGACGGGGCCCTCCTCCGCCTTGTCCTTGTGGTGGAACAGGTGGTGGTGGTGGTGTTTCTCCTCCTCCATCTGAAACAATAAATCTATCGATAATTTAGAAAGTGTATGGTGTTTGATACAAATATGATCTTGTCAAGTCCTCTATTTATAATTAAAATTCATTCATTCACTAATAGTGAACTTAGTCCAAATTAAATTATTGTGTGATGAGGTGGCACTTTGGTATACAATTTATCAACGAATCGTATAAATTATGTAGTATAATCGTGTAAGATAATTTTTACACTATTATTACCTAAAGATAATGACAAGACAACAATATAAAAAATTGTGTGAAATTAGTAAATTGTTAAGCTAATTTTTACTATTAAATTAGGTTTATTTAGTATGATATTAGAGTCAAATTGAACGCTTGAATAATTTGTTCACGTCATGGATCGGAGTATAGAGTGTTGGGGTTCGGGGATGGGAAGCGTGATGAATGTAGAAAAACTCACATCAAAGGCGGATGAAGTTAATTGAGCTCTTGCATGATTTTAAATAATTTTTTTTATAGACTAATTTTTTCGGATTGCGTCAAATCTAAAATCATTTTAAATGTAAATAATTTTTTTAAACATCTCTTTCACTATTGTTCCATCGACTGAATGCCATTGCGGATGAAAGAGTACTCAACAGATTTTAATTATCTTCCCAATTGCCAATCGCCATCACATTTTTCTTCTTTAAGTAGAAGGAGGTGCATAATTAGATAGATTATATTGTGAATCATCAACCAAAATATGGGATTACTTGGAGATTAAGGATAACAGAACACATGTGGCAAAGGAAAAAAACAAATCATATGTCCCTACTACAAGATGAAAATGTCATGTAGCTGTCATTCAAGTCAATTTTATGTTTTGCTTTTTCTCATTTCAGTTTTCAAAAAGAAAAACTACCTAATTAGACATACTTTATTATTATATATATTATTATTATTTATATTTTTAATATATTATATATTTTATCACTAATTAAAATTTTTTTTATGTATTCTACACTGAGATATATATATTTTTGTTACGTGATACACAAAAAATAGAAAAAAAAACAAGTGAAATTTGTATGTATCCTATACATATATTATGTGAATCAAACTATGTACATATATCAGGAGTGATTCACATGTATCTAGAATATTAGATATACGAGAGAGTGGCAAGCAAGATGGGAAAGAGGTGAAGGAGATTTACTATGTATCCTAAATATATGCTAATACACTTGGTTACAACGATCTTTTTTTTTTCAAATTACACTTAAATTTGACCTCAAGTAACATGTATTTGGACGTCTTTGGGGCACCAAAATTTAATAAAATATTTAATATTACAAACTAAAGTGTAACTAAGTTATTAACTCCTAAAATAATAAAATTCATGTAACTCCCTTTTCAAAAACTTCTTAAATATTTTTTAAATCTGAAAATTAACTTGTATTTTGTTATAAAAAGATATCTTGCAACAAATGGCGCTTACTCGTTCTATATAATAGGCAGAAAGCTTGTACCACTAAGTTAAATGATATAAAAAAAAGATATAGACGCATACAATTCTTAGTACTCCCACTGTTTTAACTTTTCTTTCTATTCATTTTAATTTATTTTGTTTTATCGAAAAAAATGATTTTCGAAAAGAGTTTGTTTTATCTCAGAGGATTTTCGACTTTTTAGGAGTCGCCACTTAATTTTGAGAAAATTAAGAAAACTTATTTTCTAAACAACTTTAAAACAGGAAAATTGTTTGGAAAATGTTAAAGAGTTCGGGATTCCTATTAGTGTCTTAGGAAGGTGACACTCCGTTAAATACGATTTTCCGGCGATTAACTTATTTGACTATTTTTTGTAACTTTTGCAATTTGAAGTTGAACTTTTATTTCATTTAAACAAGTCGACAAGTTTTGCAATCTTTATTGTTTATTTCACAATTTTGCGAATCTATTTCAAAGTTAAACTTTCCTAAGGTTTTATCTAACAAGCTTTGCAAATTTGAAACAAATTATCGTTAAAAAGTTAATTTTAAGTTTGACAAAATTTAAAAGGCGTTCGACGGGGTTTGGAGTTTCTAATCCTAAGCTAACGACATTTAAGCAAAAATACGTAAACAAATAGTAAAGTGAGAGAGAGAGATTTGGGTCCAAACTCAGGTTCTGTTCGCCTTGACCAAGTTTTGGATCCGCCTGTTTTTTGGATTTTCGACCCATTTCTTTCTTTTGTACCTGTCCTAGTCTAGACATACAAGAATAGGTACAAGAAAATAAAACCATAAGGGCTTAGGCCCATTACAAAAGAAACACAAAATATAAAAAAAAAACTAAAGAAGTCTTCTAGTTAGTCTTCTTCAAATTTCTTCAATCTCCTAAACTTTGAAATTTGACTTCATACGCCGATTTTGACGAATTGACTCGATGAATGACATTTAGAGCCTTTATGGCTCCCTCTTGAAATGCAAAGAGAAATGGGAGCCCCACAATGGACTCGAGCGAGGATTTCCCATGCAATTAAAGACAGAAGAGTTAAGAAAAGAACACAAAGTCTTTATATGTTAAGTGTAATAACCAACTTGCAACATAAAATACATACAATGATATACTATTTTTAAATTTAAGTCATATGAAGAAAAGACAGGGGATGTTGGACAGGGTACTTGCACATATACAAAGGCAAGATTTTAACTCATCGTGATTCAAACGAAGTAACGCAACAACCCAAACCAATTGTCGTAACTCTTCAAACCAACAAATTCATTGTCCAAAAATGTTCAAACAAAGACAACTTCACGAATAAACATTCTCGGATTACAAGTATATGAATGAGTAATCCAATAATCCTATTTTAGATAAAATTATACATAACACAATGGTTTCAACCTAGAGATGAGAATTAAGCAACAGTAGAAAGATGACAATAATTTTTTTTCTTTCAAAAATGATACCTCTTTGGATCGACAAACCTTATCGTTATATGAGAACTAGGGAAAACAATAAAATTTGAGGAGAAACAGAAAAGTAAGCAGACAACTCTTCATATTCTCAGCTTAGAATTCTAAAGGAAAATAAATTTTGGAAGCATTCGTTTGAGGCTTTTATCAAACTAATCTCAACAAGAAACAAATAAATAGGAGAAACATCCATGAATAAAACAGGAGCAAACAACAACAACAAAAAAATCATCTCTAAAGACCTAAATGGCAGTCCGCGAAGTTCATTAGATGGAGTAAATTGATCAAGTACAAAATGAGCATACTAAATGAAAGAAACACAAAACTTGAGCAAGATATGGAATCATGACTAACCATGAGCTTCAGAACAAGAGAGGGAGCATGTACAGAACCAAAACCATAACAAACTTATGCAAAACACACACATATATATATAAAGTCCAACTAACATAAATCTAATTTATTTAATGGATAATTAGTCACACAATTGGGCAACTTAGCATTTATGCATTTTGTGGATTTTATAAAATGGACAAAATGCAAACATGCATAAATGCTAAGTTACCCAATTGTGTGACTAATTATCCATTAAATAAATTAGATTTATGTTAGTTGGACTTTCTTAACAACAAATTCACAAAGAGAAAAAGGTAATAATAAGCAAACTTACCAAACTCAAACATTATAATTCACTTAATAATATTCAAACTCAATATATCCACCTCCTAAAAGAAATAAAAGCAAAGAAATTGATCAACAAATAATATTTAAATTGTGGCATCTTTCGAGATCACGATCATCTGCAATATGTGCCAATTATTCTGCTTCTGCTAACACATCATCATCAACTGGAATAGACTGGATAATATGTGATAAGAAACAAAGTCATAGGATAGGCCAACACTAGAAAAACATAATCCATAAGAGGAACCGGTCAGCTGTAGCAACCAATTCCTGCAAACAACTTTGTATCTACAATAATTGATCATATGTATGCCAAGCAAGTAGTAAATAAACAAACAGACAGCTTGTTAGAAGATATCTAAACAATGTTTAGTATCTTCACAGTCTCACTTTTGCTCAACATTTAAAAGATAATTTGTAAAAGTGCCAACAGATATGGGAACATTAATTCTGCTACTTTTTAAAATAATTATGGTGTCCCGACAGTTTGTAGACACCTAGGCTAATAAAACGAGGTACCTGTTACCTCCCACCAACACATATAATGTGTATTCCATCCATCAAGACTTGGACAAATAAAAAAAAACTACCTACTGTTTATTGTTGGATTAGAAATGCGACTTCAGCCACCACTAGGACATTCCCTTATCAAACCATTGTTTCTTCCAACAATGTTAAATGATAGAAAATAGATGGTACCAAAAACACTAATATAGTACTCCCTTTGTTTCAAAAGACCTAGTTTGACTTGAAACGGAGTATAAGAAAAGGAAAAAGACTTTTTAATGTTGTGGTTTCAAATTAAAGTTATGCCAAATGTACCAAAATGCGCTTTAATCTTGTGGTCTTAAACATGGTACGTGAAAAATTAAGGTCAAACTGTTGCCAAAAGGAAAATAGGTCATTCTTATTAAACAAACTAAAACAGAAATAGGGTCATTCTTTCTGAACTCCTTGACACAATCTCTTGCTTCTTTGACTTCCAAGAGACAAGACCTTCTCCAAACTTTATTGCATATCCTGTACCTGATCTTCTCGTTTCCACACATGCTCCCCAGTCAAAATCACACTGTCAGTTTATTGGTGTCATTTGCTGGCATTAACAAGCCTAAACCAGGTGCCTCTTTAATATATCTCACCACTCTTAAAGCTGCCTCCATGTGTGATTTTTTTGGACAATGCATGAATTGATTCAATATTTGTACAGAGAATGCAAGATTAGGTCTAGTCATGGTAATGTACAAAAGTTTCCTTTCCAATCTTTGGTATTTTGTAATGTCGGTAAGAATTGTTCCACCTTCAGGAATTCCATTATTGATGTGTTCATCATACTGTACAAAAATGAGTTTCTGATTCATCTCATGCGGTGTGCAGGCTGGCTTTGCTCCCCCCAGCCTAGATTAAGAAATTAGCTCTAATGCATATTTTCTTTGAGACATGAGTATGCCTTTGTCAGGCCTAGAAAACTCAATTCCCAGAAAAAACTTTAGTTCACCTTGGTCCTTCATCTTGAACTTCTTTTGAATCTCCTGTCTGGTGTCACACAAGAGTTTCTGATTGCTTCCAGTAACTATAAGATCATCCACATACACTAGTACTATCACTGTGTCATAGCCAACCAACTTTGTGAATAAAGAGTAATCATAGTGACTCTGTTTGAACCCTATCTACTAATGCTTCTGTTAGCTTCATGTTCCATTACCTTGGTGCCTGCTTGAGTCCATATAATGACTTGTGGTGTTTGCAGGCCTTCTGAGTCTCCCCCTGTCTAGCAAAACCACTGGGAATACTCATGTATACCTTTTCTAGTATATTACCATTGAGGAAAGCATTATGGACATCCATCTGATAGATGTACCACCCTCTAGAAGATGCAAGAGCAACCACTGACCTGACTGTAACCATCTTAGCCACAGGACTAAAGGTTTCACTAAAATCAATTCCTTCTTTCTGACTGAACCCCTTTGCCACCAACCGTGCTTTATATCTTTCTATTTCCCCCGAGGAGAGATACTTAATTTTATAAATCCATCGACAACCAATGGGTTTTTTACCAGGTGGAAGATCAACTATGCTCCATATCTTATTACTTTCTAAAACTGCTATTTCCAGTTTTATAGCTTTTACCCATGCAGGATCAGAAATAGCTTCATGAAAGGATGCAGGTTCACATACAGCTGAGTAAGCCTTCAACACCTGGTTGTAAGTTTGTGACAAATGAGAGTAAGAGAGCTTATTAGTAATAGGTAGGCACATGCATTGCCTTTAGATGTAGTGACAAAGTCCTGCAACCATATGGGGGGTTTACTCTGCCTAGTTGATCTCCTGGCTGGATCAACTGCAGTAGACACATCTGGAGTCGGCTCTGATTTGGTACAACTGAGTTTGTAGTGGAGGGTAAAGTGACAGACGACTAACCTAGACTTTCAATATCAGGACTGTTTCTAAGACTGGAAATATGGGATTAGAAAATGCTTTGAGATCTTTAAATGGATATAGATGTTCATGAAAAACTACTGTTTCTAAGACGGGAAATATGGGATTAAAAGATGCTTTGAGATATTTAAATGGATATAGATGTTCATGAAAAAAAACCACATGTCTGCTCACAAAAAATGAGTGAACATGAACATCATATAAAATATACCATTTTTGAGTTGAAGAATAGCTCATGAAGACAGCAGGAATTGCTTTAGAGGCAAACCTATCTAAGACTTTGGGACACGCAACATAACACAAATCATGTTAAATTAGGTCTTAGGCCTAACTCATACCCCAAAAGTTAGCTCAAAGGGAGGAGGATTGTCTAAGCCTTATAAGGAGTCCACCCATCTCATTAACCACCAATGTGGGACTTTTGTCATTCTTTAACACCTCACCTCACGCCGAGTGCTTAGCATCTGGTGCGTGGCAATTTTTAATTTTGGAGAGCCCCAACATCGGATGAGACGGGCCCTGCTCTGATACCATGTAAACTCCATTAATGGAGATTCATAAGTTGCTAACTTGTAGAGAAAGAAAAGGATAGAAGAGAGAAGAAAAGAAGAGATTACTTTTACATTGAATTGACTTAGCTAACTATTACATTCATGAAGCTGACTATTTATAATTCAGCTTATACACATTTAGTTATCAACCTAACTATGTACAACTGTACATTCTCTAACAAACTAACCGATTCACACCATATGACTTGTACATTGAACTTCATTGATCAACATCTTGCATTTCTAACTGACCGGTGCATTAGCTAAATACTATCTATATAAAAAGAATATCCTGATCTTTGATCCTAACAATGTGCCCAAGGATGCAACTGGCTCTTACACCCTTGACAAGATTCAGATTCCCTATATAAGACACAAAAAAAGAAATAATGTATTTTGAGTCACTGTGAACTATTATTCTTTAATTTTCATTGACCATAATCATTTTTCATGATTGTATATTAATCCTAAAAAAAATTTCCAGAGATTTAGGCTATAGTCTCCCTCTATTGTTCTCTCTATATATCTTAGATTAAATAAAAGGTTTACACCATCAAAAGCATAACATTTACATTAAAAAAAAGAACACAAGGAAGAAAAAAAGATTAACATTCAAAAACCAAATTAATGAATAGAATTATAGAAAAAGTGTTACAAGGTGAGATTAACATAGAAACATCCACACTACAAAAACACATAATCGTAGTAACTTTTATTTATTTTATAGGCAGTCCATAGATATATATATAGCTGCTAAAATGATAGTAGTAGTTAAATTTAATTAGTGGTGGTGTCCTTTCTCAGCAGCCTTTTTTTCTTTCTTGGCATCTTTTTTCTGATGATGTTCATGGAATGCAAATCCACCAGCACCAACTGCAGCTACTGCTGCTATCTCTTGTTTTATCTTGTGTTTGTGTGCATTCTCTGGATCCTTCTTTGCCTTATGCTTCTCATGCTATATATATTTATGTAACAACAAAACACTAAGATATTGAAGAGATATGTAAGAGAAAAAATACACTTATTATTTTCATTTATCAACCATAAGTATATGGTGCAATGTCATCTAAGGTATTTCTCAAATCATTCGCTTCAAATTATCTGTCATTTCTATTAGTACTTCTCGATATGATATGTGAAAGTCGATTTTCATTTAATAATGCCTTTTTCATTATATCGACACATGAGAATAATCGTAACTTGTAGTAAATTTTGTAATAGTTGTTGAATATCTAAATTTAAATTTTAAAACTAATTTTGTGTTGATCTATTCCAATTAATTTTTTAAAAAATAGTGATCAAATTAGATCTAAAAAAAATAAAACACTTATTTTGAAACGAATGAAGTATGACGTAAAGAAAGTCATAGGATCACTTTAGATTTGGGGCGAACTCATGCGTCATTAGTCCAACTATTTATCTCCACATACAATAGTACCCCGTACATATCCTATTTTAAATAATTGGACGCATGATTTAAGAAATTAAAGAAAACTTATGACATAAATGAAATATAGTATATCGATGAACTTATTTACGTACCAAGGCATAAGCACCGGCAGCAACAGCACCAAGTTCACCAATTTTCTGGAGATGGCTATGGTGCTTTACATTTTTTTCATGATCAACTGGACCACCTTCTTCCTCTTTGTTCTTGTGGTGGAACAAACGGTGATGTTGTTTCTCTTCAGCCATATATGTTATATTATGTTTGCTTCTCTAAATTAATTGTTGATTAAACGTCGATAGACAATTTGTGCTTTGATATTTTGTTTTTCTAGCTAGCTACTCCATTATTTATAGCCCCTATGAATTGTAATATCCAAAAATATTACGTAGTTGACATGAAGGATGAGAAAATTCGTCCATGAATTAGGTGGCACACCTTCAATTTAATTTTTTATATATCACCTTGCTAGAGAAAATTAAACCTGACTTCTTCTGGAAGTATATAATATTATTAATTTGTAATTACTTGTGTGAACGTCAGAAATTTCAATAATTATTTCGAACTAAGTGGATGCTATTATTAGGATAGAAGCTTCTGTGATTTTAGGACCTAATCAAACAATTCAAGTGGATATTATTATCAAAGGAAAATGTTAGTTTGAAAATTTCCTTTTGTTTATTGAACTCACAAAGTAGATAACGCGTACATGGTTTGGTATTTCACTTCTTCTTTTTTAAAGTCTGCGTGTAAGGGCATTGCTCGACGTTTCTTATAAAGAAAGAAATAGTATTTTTATTACTATCTTCGTTTTAATTAATCATGTGATACTGGTCAATTTGGTGTTATATTAAAAAAGGAAATGGATTTTTTAAAATTTGTAATCTAAATCTTAGACGAAGTGTCAGACATTTGTGTGTCTATAGATTATCAAAATAAGAATTTTTATCTAAGTGGAAACATAAGTACCATTGAAAAATAAATGAAGAGAAAGTAAAAGTTCTTCTAAGACTTGTATATTTTAATATATTGTAGTAAAATCTTCACAGACTTGGTAACAATAATTATATTTTTATAAGTGGTTCAATCAAAAAATTACTTTCTTTAATTTTGATTTATTGTGATATCACCAATGGAATTGGTACAATTTAAAATTATTATTATAACAGTAAATTAAGATTTACGAGGGAAAAACAATATTGTGAAATCATATTTGACAAGTGATTTCATTAACTTTAGTTATGTCAAATTTTGTGATAATCTTACAGATTCACTATTCTTAAGAAGATAAAGAGTTTAAACCACATCTAGGGGGATGAATTTAAAACTCAAAAAAATCTGAGTCATACGAAGAAATCCAATCTGAAGGCTAAAGATCCTATAATTGTGTTCAGTGAAAAAAATGACTTATATGATAACTAGTTATGAATGCACTATTATACTTTTCTTCATTATATTTATCATGTAATGATTGTGAAGGTTGAGTTTAAAATTTTTGATGAAATGTATATGTTGTGTAAGTGGAGTGTCGAAATTATAACAGCATCAATCCATCATTGTCAAATTTTAGTTATATGCCTGTAAAAGTTGTTTGCTTTCTACGAGAATGAGCTTGTTTGAATTGAGCTATTATATTTTAAAGGAGATAAGTCAAAAATTATATTATTGGACCGATAAAAATTATTCTATAATGAATAAAATTACTTTACAGTTTAAAGATTGTGAGATATCTGAGACTTAGGAAAAATATTTATGTATTCATTATTTTTAACTATAATTGTAATATATTCACCAACAATTATTATCTCACTTAAAAAGATGATTACAAACATGATATTAACCCGAATTTTGCACAGAAAAATTCTATTTTGGAGGAGTAAAACTAGTATTTTTTAATTAAAGATTAATCTATTGTTAAAATTTAAATTTAAAATCTCTAACTAAAAGAAAATACTTTCACATATAACAAACATAAGATACATATTATAGCTATAGTTTGCATAACTGCACCTTTTGATTTGTATATCTCGCTACAAACAATCAATTTTATACAAATTGATAAGTTTTGTATAAATTCATTTATACATTGTAATTTGTATAATAGAATATGTATTTGTATAATTATAAGTGTGTAGGACGAAAATGTATGTATTTGTATTTGTATATATATATTTTTGTTGCTTTATACAAACACAAATATATTTTATACTCAAATGTATAAAATGACTAATTATATACCAAAAAAGGCTAATTATATACCGAATCAGATGACAAAAAATGAGATATTTGCTACAAATTATAATTAAAATAAACTATGACTATTTAATTTGAATTGATAATTTACTACTTAATACAATTTTTTCTAAAATTTCTCAAAAACAATCACTTACTATCCTACCATAATGGTCTTATTAGTTGAAGTTTTTATCATTACAAAAACCCATTGACAATTAGTTGTGACTTTGGCCTTTGGTTTATGGTTGCTCACCAAATGAATGTTTTTGCTATTTGTTTTCTTCGAATATCACTTTTGAAATTAGATTTATTTAACTAAAAATATGTCATTATTTCGTTATAAATTCGAGCATCATAAAATTTTATAACGAGAATATAAAATCGTCTTTATCACCATCGTAAAGTCTTAATAAATTTGTAATAGATTTGTTATACAACGCGTATATCATCAAATATTAGATGGCAAAGATTGTTAATCATCTACCAAAAATATGGAATTACTTAGCTATTAAGGCTAATAGCACGTGGCAAAAGAGAAAAACAAACATTATGACCCTACTACAACATGAAAATGTCATGTACGTAACTGCCATTCATGTCAAATCTTATGTTTTGTTTTCCACTGCCACCTTCTACCGAGCCCATCTTACGCGGTATGAATTTAAATTAGTCAAAAAGTCAATATAAATATTAAAATTAATTAATAAAAATAATAATAATAATATATTAAATATATTTTATTTGTATCACTTATATTTATAGATAACTACAATTCACTAATTAAACGTATAATCATAGATTTTTTAATATTCTTGGCAAATATTATTTGAGTGAAAATTTAGGTGAAATTTCATCATGGGTTTGACTATGGTATTTGGGAAATATGTTTCACCTTTTTAGAAAAATATGATTTATACCCATTAGTTTTAAAAACTATCAAAATCAACTATAAGTTTATATTACAAGTCAATTGGATGTTCGTTGCAACAATAACAAGTAGTGTCCATGACACTAGAGCAATGTGGTAGTTTGGAGTGAGTGCAACAAGCATCATTCCATAAATCGTGAACCGATTTTTCATCAACAACCATATCATCATTTAATATTCAACTGAATATTTCATCACTACTTTGGTGTTCACGTAAAAAATTATGTAATACAACACAAACAACTACTATAAAGGGTGTTTTTGTAAAAGATAAAAGTTTGGGGTAAGATTTTAATTTTTAAAAAATTTCAAATAATGAGATTTGACCCGAATACTAGAAAAAACTAGTATTTTGAAATTTGGAATATTTGCCAAAAATATTTTCAAATAATGGCAAACTGTATGGACAAACATCATTTGCCAAATTTCCCCCCAAATATTAATTGGGAAATCTATGGCCAAATGGGCCCTTAGAGTATCTCACTTGTACCACTCATTTCTATTACAACTAATCACCTCAATTTCTCACCTACTCTATGTCAAGTCTTCTAGATCAAATCTCCAGACTAACATCATCAACTTTTGTTTTCATTCTTTTGTCAAGATACTCATCTCAATTTCAAGCTTAATGTTTATTACAAAATCTAAATATCAATATGATTGCTCGCTTACTATACTAACTTACAACTATTGGATACAATTTAGAAACACTCGTCCACTAAGACCTTATTGTTAGGATAAAAGATAAGCAGGTGTAACGCGGAAGCTAGCAAAGCAAACCTCAAAAGACTACGAGTAAGAAGACAACGAGAAATATACCAAAAGACACAAAGATTTAACGTGGTTCGGTCAATCGACCTACGTCTACAAAGGAGATGAGCAATCCACTATAAATATGAGAGTACAAAATACAGAGAGAAACAACCTCAACCAATTCACTCGGAATACATGGGAGGTTCACACAAGTGATAACGTATCAAGCTTGTGACCCATAAATTTCCTACAAGAAAAAGATTAGTCAATTCAAAACCTTTTCCTAAAAGGAAAACCTATTTATGGTAAGAAATTTAGGGCAAATAAAACCTAATACTTATGACAAGTAGTCAATCCTTACTGCTTAGTCTCCATACTCACAAATTACCATCATATTCGACCTCGCAACTTAAGTACTACTTACTCATTTACTACACATTATCTCTCAAAATAGTTCTATCATTCTCTAAATACCATGGGGTTTCCCCCTTCAAAATTCATAAGCGTAGTTTGGGTCTACCACCTCATGAATACTCTACTCGATTATGCAACATAAAAGTTAGTCTTCTCTAACACGATGACACATTGACATAATCCGCTCCAACACTATCTCCTTTCCTTAGAGTATTGAAACTTCACATACTTTCCTCTAACCCATGACACTTTCACTACTTATAATCTCGTAATTCATACTATCTTTAAAGCGAAAATACTACCCAAGCTCTAAACATACCATCTTCTTAAAGGTCTCAACTGATTTTAGGAAATAGTGTACTACTCGTTAACTCAAACGCACACTTCATATGAACATAAGTGCATATCTACTTAAGCCGCTAAGGGGCTTCTATCAAGCCCCTCTGGAGTCGCATGATTTCCTCAAGCCTTTTCTAAGAACAACTCATCGATAAAGGACTGAATGTTCAACCACCTCTAGTATGACGAGTAGTCGAATGAATCTGAGAAACACACGATAAAGAATAAATTGGATGAATCTGAGAAACACACGATAATGAATAAATTGGATGAATCTAAGAAACACAGGATTATGAATTAATCTCTATAACATAACTCTATTGCATGATTAAGAGTATGAAAAAATTTATATAGTTCCTAAATGTTGAAGCCTCCTAATTGTAAATATGGTGCACTTCACACTAATAACTAGGTTTCTACATACACAACTTCATAGACTCCCTAGGACTTTTAAACTCTGTGCTCTGATATCAAGTTTGTCATAATCCGAACCTACACCTTGGGCATGACTAACACTCGAGAACCATTGTTGGTCCCCAAGAGAACAATCATCATGACTTACTACAATTGGAAGAATAACTCAAGCATACAACCGCTTAAAACTGAATTCATTAAAATCAATAACAAAACTTTGATTCAAATGATAAACTCTAAATAAAACATTATATTCA